AGGGAGTAGAGTTACATCGCCTGGGTGTTGGATATACAAGTGTCCCATATGGGAAGTACACAAGCAGGTGAGTCACATAACCTGGGTGAGGCAAAGCTATATACAACAATGCTTTCTGAGGGCAGAGCCAAGGAAAAAAAGGAGACTCACATCACCTGGTTGCAAAGTCTAGTGATATGTAAAAATGATCACTGTGGGCAGTGCCAAGGAAGGAGAACAGAGTTACATCTTCAAGGTGCTGAATCCAGCAATTTGTTAATGTGCCATCTGTGGGCTAGGTCCATGCAAGAGCATCAAATCACTCAGGTGCTTAGCACTGGCAGATTTCACAGTCAAACCTGCAGAATGGCCCAGAAGTGAGACGAACAATCCCACAACTGAATTGTAGGTATGGCATTCAATACCTCCTGTATGTTGGGTGTAAGCCCAAGAGTAACCAGCTCAACAGCCGACTGGATTTGTGCATAACAGCATCAATTTTTGTGCAGACTGTGTCTCCTTAGGAAAGTCACAGCCTCACAGGTGTGCTGAATCTTGGTCTGAGAGTCACCAACCTACATGTATCTGTGTATGAGTCAATTTTTCCATCTTTGACTGACTATAGGTGTGAGATTGAGAACCTCAATAGTGATGTGTGTTTATGTCAAAGGATGACAATATTTACTGTTGGCTGGGTGTGCATATGAGTGTCACAATCTCACCTGTTTTGCTTGGCCTGGTTAGCACACTCTGTACACTATCCAATGCCTTATACACTATGAATGAGAGTTGCAATCAATTTTGAGACCTTACTGCTGGTATGGACCCATTCTTGCACCTGTGGCATTAAGTTTGGGTATGAGAGTCAACATCACTACAATTAACTAGGTCAAGATAGGAGAGTTCTCTCTTGCCTGTGAGCTGGGTTTAGAAATTAGTCACCCTGTCCAGGCGCTGTGGCTCACACCTGTAATACCAGCACTTTGGGAGGCCGAGGCAGGCAGATCATGAGGTCAAGAAATCGAGACCATCCTGGCCAACATGGTGAAACCCCATCTCTACTAAAAAAATACAAAAATTAGCTGGGTGTGGTGGTGCCTGCCTGTAGTCTCAGCTACTCTGGAGGCTGAGGCAGGAGAATTGCTTGAACCCAGAAGGCGGCGATTGCAGTGAACTGAGATTGTGCCACTGCACTCCAGCCTGGTGCCTGGTGACAAAGTGAGACTCTGTCTCAGAAAAAAAATAAGTCACCCTTTCAACTGTGGTTGAATGTTTCCATATGAACATGAGCCTAGCACCAAGGTGATGTGAGTCTTCGGCCTAGACACTTCAAGCAGGAGGCAGTGGAACATATCTCTGGGCCTATCTGAGCTTTTCCCATAAAACGGATGTGACATATGTCTAGACCCAGCACCTAGGTGATGTGACTCTCCTTTTTTGACTAAGCCCTGTGTATTTTGGGCATTCTAACATATCCCTGGACCTCACATCTAGAAGATAAGGAGACTCTGCATGGGCCATACCTATGAAGTTTCTTATAATATATTTCTACATTAATCACCTTGGAGAGATGACTCTCCTCTCTTACCTGGGCTTTGCCCATAAGAGAGATTGTTATGCACCTCTGCACCAAGCACCTACATGCCACGACTTTTCTTTCTTGCCTGGGTCATACCCATAGATGAAAGAATGACTTATCGCTGTGTCCAGCACACTAATTATGTAATTATTCTGCCTGATTTCTGCTCACAGGAGGCACTGTAACATATCTCTGGGCCCAGAAACTATTTAATACAACTCTCTTCTATTACCTTAACTTTGTGCATAAGATAAATTGTGACATTTCTCTGGGTCAGCACATAGGTGATGTGACTCTCCTTTTCTGCATGGGCTATGCTCACAGGAAAGAGACTGACTTGCTGTGTTGACAGCTGATGTGATACCTCGGTTCTGGTCTTCTTAGTTTAGTGCATATGTGCAGTAGCTTTATATGCTTCTTCATATGTTGTATGTCTCATTAGCATCTTAGGTCTCCACCCAGGAGTGTATGTTTGTTGTTTGTTTGAGACAAAGTCTCACCCTGTTGCCCAGGATGAAATGATCTCTACTCACTCCAACCTCCGCCGTCTGAGTTCAAGCGATTCTTGTGCCTCCTCAGTAGCTGGGTTTACAGGCATGCACCACCATACTCGGCTGGTGTTTGTGTTTTTAGTAGAGATGGGGTTTCATCATGTTGGCCAGTCTAGTCTCGAGCTTCCGGTTTCAAGCGATTCACCCTCTTCAGCCTTCCAAAGTGCTAAGAGTACAGGTCTGAACCACTGTGCCTGACTGGTGGTTGCATGTTTTGCTATTAAAATAAGCAAAAGTTAAGTTTGAGGACAGGTAAAATCAAAACGCACATGCTCTCTAGAGCAGAAAATCCTTAATGAAGATAGCTTTGCTTGAGTATGCCCTATGGGAATGCTAAGGCTTATTGTGTTGGCTGTGCAGTCACCACGGTTTCTGTATCCCAAGATCATGGCTATTTTCTTGACTATCTTTGCTGCTTCAATTTCCCCCTAAGAGATCTTAGAGCCATAATCACATTGGAGGTTGAGGGGCTAGGTCATTTTTTCTGGAGCTGTTTTATGCTGATTGGGTGTTATTTCTGCCAAGCCTGGGCCCTAAAGTTTCTTCCTGTGTGATCTAACAGGGTGTAAACCAGACCATTTATGAAACCAGTGGGTAAGATGTTGGTAGCCAAAGGTTGAAAGCCTCACAAAACTGTCACGCAACAAAAGGAACTGCTGTAAGCAAGACAGCAAGAAATCAGTTCACATTTTAAACAGAGTGGGAACAAAAGTTAAAGCCGAAAGTGTAGTAATGACTGATACTATTAAAGAGAGCAAGGCGGGTAATAGACATTACTTTCATGTTCCAATGGAAGTTCCTAGAGATTCAATTTTGGCTGTCTGTGTGATGATATGATTACTATTTTCTTGAAATAAGCCAGACAAATTGGTCTCAAAAACAGCATTCTTCTTTTAGATATAAACATGTTCCTCACAGCCTGGCTGTGTGAAGATCCCAGGCTCTGGTTTTGCAGGGCTACAGTGGCCACGGAGTGCAGATATTGTTGAAGTCTCCTGAGGCCCTCTGCTGCTTGTTGGGAAGCCATTGTGGTTTCCTGAGATCGTTTATACTAGATTTCCAAGGCTCCACCTTGTGGTGACATTTGTGCTGCAAAAGTATTTTGCATTAAAGTGGTGAAAGCAGTGAAAGTCTTAGTGTTTTCTGTTTTTTGCCAATAAGCAAAAGTTTTGTGCAGCTAAGTTGGTGGCAGTCATTGGGTCTGTTTATGGATGATAAAGCTGAATGGTAGACAAAGAAGTCTTCAGTAAACGCACTGAAGTTCTCTAAGAGCCATCAGAGTTGTTCCTTACATTGGATTAGATCATTTATTGAGAATAGAACATGCACTCTGATGGTCCTGTCTGCATTTGGGACTTTTCGTAGGAGGAGCAAATTTGCTGGCCCTGGATGGTATGAAGTACCACTGTGAGTATTGCAGCTGGGCTGGTCTCTATTGTACCTGACAAAGGCCTTCAAGAAAGAGCAGAAAAAGGAGGTGAAACAAGATTAGATTCTACAGGAGGCTCTGATAGTGTGTGGGATGGTGGGGATTCTAAAGGAGGTGTGGACTCCTGAGAGCCCCTATCTAGAGCTGGTGTTGGGCTTTGGGGTGTGGAGTCTCTTCCCCTTAATAAGAATGGGTCCTCTAATGAGTCTGAGAGGCTTTCGTTCTTACTAGGCTTAAGCCCACAGGTGCTGCATAGAGCTGGGTTTTGTTCTCAGGCCATAAACTCTTGCATATAGGATACTTCAGACCATTTTCCCTGATTTCTACAGAAAAGATCTCGCTGTAGGATGCTGTTAAATTTCACAGTCTCATTTTCCAGTCATGTTTTGTCAGCCAATCTGTACACAGGCTAAATAGTGTTACAAAACAAGATAAGCCTTTTTATTTTTTAAATTCATTTAGCCAAAAGTCATTCCAGTAACCCATTGGTGTTTCAATGACAGTAGAGGTAAAGGCTCCCCACAGTGCCGAGAGAATCCAGCAAAGACAGAATATGTACTGAAGTCCAGGGGGCCAAGGGCATCGCCATGAGCCAAGTGGGACCACCAAGGTGTCCAGAGCATTCCTTCAAAACCCACTAACTAAAGCTCTAGGAGATCATAGGCATTTGCCACACACTGTCCTACCTCTTGCCAGTGCTGGACATTTCCAGCCCTACTGAGATGACTCCCACTGCTGGCTGTGGGGCAGATGTCTGGCTGACAAGCCTTTTCTTAATTCACCGGTTTGGATTTGTGATGCTCAATTATTAATACCTGGAATGCACAGATGCAATCCCCACAACCGGGCATCTACATGACTGCACTTTTTGTTCAGCAAAGAAAGCCTGTTGAAGAACAATGTTAAGGAGCTGGAAAATGCATAAAGCCGGAAGAGACAGGGAGTTCTTATTCTGCCCCTCAAAACAAAATAAAATTTTTGTATACAGAAAACCTGATCAGAAAATAAATTACAATACCCACTAGGTGGCGATCGAGTATTGCTGAAGGAACAGCAAACGGTAAGCAGAGTCTTAAGTGTGGCCAGAAAGATGTGAAACTAAGCACCAATGTAGCCCGAATATGAAATGTTGAAAGCGACCCGTGTGATTAGTGTATTTATGGATAGTACAGAAGTAGCAGCTAGAAGGAGATCACTTATATTCTCTCTCTAAAGAATATTGGTGACTTAAAAACGTTTCCCTCGGAACTTTACTGAAACAGCACTGGAACAAGCAGTGATAGTGAACCAGGTAGTCTGGAACTGCTATAGTATTCACTGCAAGTAAAGGGAAAGTGAAATTAATGAAGCCGACAAACTTCTTACCGGGCCATGGCACCAGAAATATTGATGGCTGATGTAATACCTTGGTTCTTATCTTCTTAGTTTAAAAGAATTTAAACAAGACACACAGCAAAAGAAGTACAGCATAGAGTAATTTATTGAAGAAAAAAAAGAATATTTTGAAAATTAAATGCAGAATACATAGTACACTCTGATAAATTCCAGGGCTGCCTGCTCATAAGGGTGAGATAGCATTAATTATTGGTGGAGAAACCCTCTTTATGTTGAGTTTTACATGATTATTCATAAGAAGGTGGAAAGAAGTGTTACACTAAGCATGTTCTGCCTGGTCTTTTCTGTGCACATGTGCAGCAGCTAAACATATTTGTGCATACATTGCATGTCTCATTAGCATCTTATATCTTCCCCCCAAGAGTGTGTTTTTTATTAATAAAATGAGCAAAGCATCAGCTTGAGGACAGGTAAAATAAAAATGCACGTACTCTCTAGAAGTAAAAGTCCCTACGGAAGACAGGTTTCAAATGACCCCAACTACTCCACGTTTTAAAAGTCATTCCCACAAAGCTGGAATGCTGTCTGTTCCTGAAGGATCAGATCCCATTTGTGTCTCTACGACACTGGCAAGTCAGGCCCTACTTGAGATGGGCCGATGATTTCAATTGTAAAATGCCTAAATCGTCAGCAGCTTCAGTTGCATTTTGGAGCTTGCCCACTTTAATGGGTTAATGAAAATGGCTCACAAGACACATGCCTCGGAAATGGGATTTTCTCCTTTACTTTTAGCAGATTTTGTGCAACCCTACACTTAACCTTCCTAATGCTTCGACTTTCACATTCATGAAAAAACCGCCATTGAGAATGACATTTCCAGGAAGTCACAGTCTTGATCACTGCTCTACAGAGCTCTGAAGCTGTTCATAATCAGGCCAGGTGGAAGATTTCTCTCAAAAGCAGTCGAGCACGCGCTCTGGCCAGAAGAAAAAGAGGGTTGTGGCACAATGGAGAGTGTCTCGGATATCAGGACAGTTTCCCCAACAGTTTAGGAAAGAAGGCAGCGCCCTGAGCTGCAGAAGATGCAATGCTCTGGAAAGAACCCTGGGTGCAGGTGAAAGAGAACATTGAGCAGGACAGGACCAATTGGGTGAGGAGAACCCGCCCGATTTGGGAAAAGGTAAGGTATCTTTGTAGGGTAATGCCCTCCTCAGTGCCCAGCCCAGACCTTCCCTTAACGTCCACATCTGTACTTACCATCCTTGGCAAAGAGTCGGCATGGATTCAGAGTCCAACAGTATTTTGTACACCAAGAAGTCAACACCAGTTTGCCCCTCCCTCCAGGGCTATGTACTCCAGATCCTGGGACATGGTGGGATTATAGTTCTAAAGCCTACTGACAAACAGGCTGAGAGCAGTTAATGGACTAGAGCTCCCAGCATATGACTAGGTGGGATGCGGACCACTCTGCTCCTCTTTCCAGAGCTGCGCAAAGCCCTGGAGCCTGCTGCATGCTGGGATTGTAGTCCTGCAGCTGCTTGACCAAAGGGCTGGGAGTATTTATAAGCATACATTTCCCAGCAAGCCTAGGGAGGTGCACACAACCCCATCTCTAGCCTTGTCTCTGAGACTGGTGCATGCTAGAATTGTAGTCCTGCAGCCCTGTGACTAAAGGGCTGGGAGTGTTTATGAACATATATCTCCCAGAAAGCCTAGGAGAGCCACACACAGTCCCCCCTCTTCCTCCGGTGATGCGCACTATCACTGGCCCCTGTGTATACTGGGATTTTAGTCCTTCAGCCCTCTAACAAAAGGTCTGGGAGTCTTTATAAAACTACATCTTCCAGCAAGCAGGAGACACTCACTGCCCTGCTGCTTCTTCATGTAATGCGCACTGTTTCTGAGCCAAGTGCATGCTGGGATTGCACTCCTGCAGCCTGGTGGTAGAAAGGCTGGGAGTGTTTATGAGACTACATCTCCCAGCAAGCCAATGGAGGTGCGCACAGCTCTGCCTCTTCCTTCAGTGAAGTGCTGTCTCCCTGAGCTCGGTGCATGTTGGAATTTAGTACTGCAGTCCTGAGACCAAATGGCTGGGAGTGTTTAAGAAACTGCATCTCCCAGCAGGACCAGCTAGGTGCGCACAGCCTCGCCTCTCTTTCCAGTGACTAGAGAACTGTCCTTGAGCCCCATACATGCTGGGATTATGGTGCTGCAGCTCTACGACCAAAGGTGAAGGGAGAGGCCATGAGACTACATCTCCCAGCAAGCCCAGCAAGGCTCACAAAGCCCTGCCTTTTTTTCCAGTGATTGGTGCACTGTTTCTGAGCGGGGTGAATGCTGGGATTGTAGTCCTGGAACACTGTGACCAAAGAGTTGGGAGTGTTAATGAGACTACATCTCCCGAAAAGCATAGTGAGAAGTGCACAGCTCTTTCTTTTCCTACAGTGTTAAAGTATTTCTTTTCCTGACCCTGTGTTAAAGTATTCCAGTCGTATGACAAAAGGGCTGGGAGTAAATACGCAGCCCCGCCTCTTCCTCCAGTGACATGGCATTGTGATAAAAGCATCGTCCATGTGCCCACTGCATGCTGGGACTATAGTCCTGCAGTGCTGTGACCGAAGGGCTAAGAGTGTTCATGAAACTACATCTCACAGAAAGCCCAGCGAGCTGCACACAGCCCTGCCTCTTTCTCCAGTGACCTACACTGTCCCTGAGCCCTGCGCACGCTGGGATTGTAGTCCTTCAGCCCTGTGACCAAAGGGCTGGGAGTGTTTATGAGAATACATCTCCCAGCAATCCCAGTAAGTCACCCGCAACCACACCTCTTCTTTCAGTGACATAACATGTCGCTGAGCCTGGTGCTGGCTGGTTTTGTAGTCCTGAAGTCCTGCAACCAAAGGACTGGGAGTGTTTATGTGACTACATCTCCCAAAAAACATAGCCAAAAGTGCACAGCCCCGCCTCTTCTTCCAGTGAGGGACACCGTTTCTAAGCCTGGTGCATCCTGGGATTGTAGTCCTTCAGCCCTGTGACCAAACGTCTGGGAGTGTTCTAGAGACTACATCTCTCAGAGCCCGGTGCACTCTGGGATTGTAGTCCTTCAGCCCTTTAACAAAAGGGCCGAGCGTGTTTAAGAATCCATCTCCCAGCAAGCCCAGCGAGTCACAAACAACCCAGCCCCTTCCTCCAGGGACGCAAAATGTCCCTGAGCCAGGTGCTGGCTGGGATTATAGTCCCACAGACCCGTGACTACATCTCCCAAAAAACATAGCGAAGAGTGCACAACCCTGCCTCTTCCTCCAGTGATGAGCACTGTCCTTGAGCCAGGTGCATGCTCGGATTATAGTCCTGCAGCCCTGTGACCAGAGCTGAGAGTGTTCATGACAATACATATCCCAGCAAGCCCAGAAAGGCAAGCACAGCCCCGCCTCTTTCTCCAGGGATACGCACTATTCTTAATCTTGGTACGTAAGGGAATTGTAGCCCTGCAGCCCTGTAATGAAAGGGCTGGGAGTTTTTATAAAACTACATCTCCTAGCAAGCTTAAGGAGGCAGGCATAGTCCTGCCTCTTCCTCCAGTCACACACACTATTCCTAAGCCGGGTACACGGTGGAATTGTAGTCCAGCAGCCCTGCGACCAAAGGGCTTTGAGTGTTTATGAGACTGCATCTCTTAGCAAGAAAAGCAAGGCATGCAGAGCCCTGTCTTTTCCTCCAGTGATGCACACCGTCCAGAAGAAGTGTTCATGAGATGACATTTTCCAGTAAGCCCAGCAATTCACTCACAGCCCTACCTCTTCCTCCACCGATGTGTACTGTTCCTGATTCCAGTCTATGCTGGGATTGTGGTGCTGCAGTTCTATGACAAAATGGCTGGGAGTGTTTATAAGACTACATCTCCCAGCAAGCCCAAAATGTACTTATAACCTCTCTCTTTTTCTTTCAGTGACGTGCGTTGTCTGTTAACCCGGTGAATGGTGGAATCATCCTGTAGCCCTGTGACGAAAGGGATGGAAGTGATTATAAGACTATATCTCCCAGCAAGCCTAATGACATCCACATAGCCTCGCCTCTTCCTCCAGTAATGCACATTGTCCTTGAGCCCGGTCCATACTGGGATCGTAGTCCTGCAGCCCTCTGACCAACTGACTGGGAGTGTATTCTTACAGATCTGTTCACTTTTCATGAGAATGTTTTTCTTTACCCCATGAACATACATACAGTAGCTTTCTTCAAGTCTGATATACTGATTACAGCATCCTGGACATGTTGAGAATAGGTTCTGTTGTCTGCTTTTCATCTTGTGAATTGATTGCATTTTCATGCTTCTTCACACAACTCATGAATTTTTAAATTGTGTAATAGGAACTACAGGGATTCTGAATTCTGTTGTATATTTTGAAAATTATTATTTTAAGAGGGAGTTAATTTGAATAGATTCAAACTTCAATTCTTACATCTGTTACAGTAACGTAGCTGAAATTCTCATTCATTTCTTCCAAACATGCATATTACACATGTATTATACATAGATGTGCATTTCTATATAGCAAAATATAATATTTTTTGTTTTATTATAGTTATCTGTGAAATAGTTATTCAACAAAGTACTTCATTATTACTGGAAGCCAGAACCTCAGTTTTGTTCACTTTTTGGATTTTATGTAAGTGAAATTATGTAATATGCACACTTTTATATCTACTTTCTTTTATGCAACATTATATTTATGCTATTGCAGATAGCTATAGTTTGTTCTTTTAAAAAATAATTTTTTATGCGGGCTCTTTCTATGAAGAAAGTCAGTGGTAGCTTAGTGGGGATAGCACTGAATCTATATATTACTTTGAGCAGTATGACCATTTTCACCATATTTATTCTTCCTATTCATGAGCATGGAATGTTTTTCCATTTGCTTGTGTCCTCTCTTATTTCCTTGAGCAGTGGTTTGTAGTTCTCCTTAAAGAGGTCCTTCATATCCCTCGTTAGTTGTATTCCTAGGTATTTTATTGCCTTCATAGCAATTGTGAATGGGAGTTCACTCATGATTTGACTCTCTGCCTGTTATTGTTGTATAGAAATGCTTGTAATTTTTGCACATCGATTTTATATCCTGAAACTTCTGAAGTTGCTCATTAGCTTAAGGAGATTTGGGGCTGAGATAATGGGGTTTTCTACATATAAAATCATGTGATCTGCAAACAGAGACAATTTGACTTTCTCTCTTTCTATTTGAATACACTTTATTTCTTTGTCTTGCCTGATTGCCTTGGCCAGAACTTCCAATACTATGTTGAATAGGAGTAGTGAGAGAGAGCATCCTTGTCTTGTGGCAATTTTCAAAAAAAATGCTTTCAGCTTTTACCCATTCACTATTGATATTGACCATTGGTTTGTCATAAATAGAGCTTATTATTTTGAGATATGTTCCATGAATATCTAGTTTTTTGAGAGTTTTTAGCATGAAGAGTTGTTGAATCTTTTTGAAGGCCTTTTCTGCATCTATTGAGATAATCCAGTGTTTTTTGTCATTGGTTCTGTTTATGTGATTGATTACATTTATTGATTTGCATATGTTGAACCAGGTGTGTATCCCAGAGATAAAGTTGACTTGATCATGATGGATAAGCTTTTTGATTTGCTGCTGGATTTGGTGTGCCAGAATTTCATTGAGGATTTTTGCATTGACATTTATCAGGGATATTGGCCTGAAATTTTTGTTGTTGTTGTTGTGTCTCTGTTATATTTTGGTATCAAGATGATGCTGGCCTCATAAAATGAGATAGAAAAAAAGTCCCTCTTTTTCTATTGTTTGGAAGAGTTTCAGAAGAAATGGTACCAGCTCCTCTTAGTACCTCTGGTAGAATTCAGCTGTGAACCCATCTGGTCCCTAACTGTTTTCTGTTGCTAGGCTATTAATTTTAGAATGACTGCCTCAATTTTGTTATTGGTCTGTTCAGGGATTCAACTTCTTTTTGATTTAGACCCAAGAGGGTGTATGTGTCCAGGAATTTATCCATTTCTTCTAGATTTTCTAGTTTATTTGCATAGAGGTGTTTATAGACCAATGGAACCAAACAGAGGACTCAGAAATAACACCACACATTTACAAACATGTAATCTTTGACAAACCAGATAAAAACAAGCAATTGGGACAGGATTCCCTGTGTACAAATGGTGTTCAAAAACTAGCTAGCCATTTGCATAAAACTGAAACTGAATCCCTTCCTTACACTTTATACAAAATTTAACTCAAGATGAATTAAAGACTTAAATGTAATATCCAAATTATTAAAACCCTAGCAGGAAACCAAGGCAATACAATTAAAGTAATGGGAGTGGGCAAATACTTTATGACTAGACACCAAAAGCGATAGCGGAGAGGGGAGAAGATGGTGCTGTAGGACCAACTCAGAATTGCAGCTCCCAGTGAAAGCGCAGATGGTGAGTGGATGCCACATTTCCAGATGGATCTTTATTGCCCACAGACCAGGAGATTCCCAGGTGTAGGAGCCCCACGAACTGCCAGTGAGGCTGTTTGGGCTGGTGCAGCTGTTTAAGCCAGGGCCGCAGCACAGCAGCACTCCATACAAAATACACTGGTTTGGATGCCCTATTAAACTGGCAACTGGAGATTTCAGAAGGCAGATTAGCACATTCATCTGATTAAATGGGATTTAAACAGTAAGCCAGGCTAGGAGATTCCTGGGCAGCAACATTGTTCCAGCCAGTGCAGTGGGTTGCTGCATGGGAAATCACACAGATCCCACCACACTTTCAGCAGGTGACTGGAACACCTGGGAGAGAGTCAACCTTTCAACTTAAAAAAATAAAAGGGCTCTGAGGCATGAAGCCAAATAATCAGGCTCAGCAGGTCCTACCC